GAGACGCGCTGACCACAACGCCATCTGGCGGCAGTTCTTTAAAGTACAGTTGCTGTTTCGTCGCATGTAAGTCCAAAGTCACAACGGGCTTGTAGGTGTGGAGGTTCGTTGTACTGTAGTAAACCTGATGGAGGACTTGTGCAGGTCCTGTTTCATTTGGTTTTACTTCGCAAAATTACAAACTGCAATCGGAAAATTACAATCAAATCTCACATTTCCGATAGAGTGATCACAATTTTACAATCGCAAATTGTAAAATTACAAATGTTTCCTAATTTTCAGAAGAGAGATTTGAATTTTCAGAAAACTGTTATGAATTTTAATAACTAATTGCAAAATTGACAATGTTATGAAATTTCCCAACCACGTTTGCAATTTTACAACTGATTTTGATGTGAAATTTCACAACTTTTTTAACAGTGCGATAGCTAACTTTAGCAATTGGCTAACTTTTTTGCGACAGCTTTTTTTAATGCCCAGCTAAATAATTAGCCATCTCCTATTTAGCTATTACTTAACTAGATAGCTAATCTTTGTGCTTTCGGTGCTGTCCTTATGGTTCCACCACACTCCGCTGCCGGTCTTTTTCCACACTACTTCTTCTCATTATGCGCCGATATTTTTTATTCTCACCTCCATCCCGCCCTCCAATTTCAAACAGCCCTATTGTATTTTATCAAACATGGGAGGGGGAGAGAAAGAGAGAAAGACAAGGTGAGTGAGATGAAAAGGGGGAGGGGAAGGGGGGGGGGGCACCCTGACCCGCGTGACCTACATTTTCTGTCCCGACGCGTCCCAAATTGCCCCTTTCTCTAATGAGTCGGCGTGCGAAAAGCCAGCAGCGCGCCCCGCGGGCCTTCTTGTCGATGGGGCGGCGCCACGCACGCAGCCTGTTGCAGGGGCACCGGACCGCAGCACCCCTTTCCGTGTCCACCCCTCCTATCTGCAAGCCGGCGGGATGGGGATGGAACGGGTGGCCGCTGCTTGGACTTTCGAATGTTGCAATTGGCCGTACCGGGCGTGGGGGTGGGGAAGGGGGGATTGGACGGGATTTAAATCACCATGGGACGAGGGGAAGCGAGAGCTGGGGAAAGAGGAGGTGGTCGAACAATACTAATTGCCTCATTAACAGAGCTGTCTGGCTGGGGCTGGCCTAAGGCCGGTCAGGCCTGCCGCGACCGCGCCTCATCCGTCACGAGCCACTGGCGCCCCTAAGACTGCAGGCCACCCGCAGGTCCTCCGGCGTAGCCTGAGCGGCCTGACACACGGGACCGTTGCACGCAACCTAGTTATTTTTTGTCTATGGAAATTTAAAAGCAAACCCATCTTGGACTGTTATAATTTTCTGATTAGGGTTCGCCCGGAAAGTACGTCCGCTTTTCTCAGACTCAATCGGCCAATGACGGGAGCTTGGCGCCTGCGAGAGTCAGGGTAGGCCACGCCGCAGAACACGCGTGCACTGCAGGCAAGATATTGCCTACCTGCCAGGCGGTTGGGCTTGCTGAGGCCGCTGAACTTCGTAGCGGTGAATGACGGATGTGTACTTTCTGGATGATCCCGTGAGCTCATTGCTCGAGCTGTCCCCGTCGCCTGGCGAGCACTGACCGCTAGTCGATTCGCCCGCCGGTCCCTGATCGCCTGCGGGTGCTGCCCGCCTTCCTCATGGAGGAACGGCAACCGTTCTTCATCCGCGGCGAGGGAGCGGGCGGTGCGGCCTTCCCGGCCTTCCACGCCACCGCCGTGTTTCCCGGGCCTGTAACACACACAGCCTGCATCGCAGGGCCGCGAGCGCCGCGGGGGCGCTGCAACTAAATTATGCTGGTCAAGACGCTGCCGCCGCTGCCGCCGCTGCCGCCGCTGCCGCCGTGTTAGCTTTGGTGAAGACAAACAGCCGAGCAGACCTGGTCCAGCCGTTCGCTCTGCGCCCTCGCCCCGTTCCGCCCCGACCCGCTCCTGCCAAGGAAGGATCATCGCAATGCGGACAAGTACTCGCATCTGGATATCAGCCCTACCGCCCATCGGACGGGGCGGGGCGGGGGATGGAGAACACCGTGTCTGCCGGTGCGCACCGCCCCCCGCCTCGTCCCGCCCGATCCGTGCGCATCGAGAAGGACTTCGCTGGATAATTACGAGCCAAAGTTTGACTCGC